CCCATCTTTTTTGGCAGAATATTCTTGATATAGATTTTATTCAAAGAGTATATCCTTTTGTATGTGTTTCCTATATATGGATATGTTTGTTGTTTGTGTCGCTAAAGTGCTAAATATTTGATTTGAATGTTTTGCAAATTATTTTATTGATAATCAATATTATGTATATCTCTTATGTAGGAATAAAATAATAGATTCCTAGCCTAATAGGATTTATAGCTTTACTTTTCATAACTGTAATATAAATATGTTTCCGTGAATACAGTGTAAAGTAATTTAATATTAATCTTAATGTTTTGCATTAAAATAAAAGCTTTTGTTGTAGCTTTTGTATGATGATAATAATTTAAAAATAAGCAATTGAAATGTGTTATAAATGTTATATAGAAATATTTAATATAATTACTTTTTTTACATTTACATGGTATATTCAGTGAAGTGTTGATTATAATTTACACTAGTTGTTGTTTGTTTTAGCTACCCTCACATCGTTAGCGTTTTAATAGTCATATTATATGACTCATATATAAATAAATTAAATTAAAATATAAATAATTTATAAATTATAAATCTATTTAATAGTTTAAGAAATAATTGCTGAAATATGGTTTTATTTTATAGTGATTATCTAGATTCTATAGCTTTTGACGGCAGCTTTTTAAATAATGTTTTAACAAACATCGAAAAATGACCAAAAAATTCTGATTGTTTCTTACGGGTGGACAAAATGTCAACGAATTTACCAAAAGATCATGCAATTAAACCACAATATTAATAATAATTTGTTAACATTTATCTTAATATAAAAATTAAGTTCAAAAGTCCTCTTCTAAACTGTTACATTCATTTAAATGATGAACTGTTGCCATGGTCACTTTGTTGTGTTTTGCTGTCAAAATAATCCATATTCAAATTGAAAACTTCTTAAATATTTCACACATTTTATTTAATATTTTCCGATTAACACAAGTTTTTAAATAAAATTAATGTCGAAATACAATAAATGATAGAAATAATGGCTGAAAGAGTAGACAATACTAATGAGATCCTACTGCGGGTATAGCTTTGGATATTCTCTAACTTTTATATGATAAACATGAATAAATAATTATTTTTAATTTATTTATTATTTTTAATTAAGGGCACAATTCATTACTATTGTCTCAATAGAATGTATAGGACAATGGCTGCGAGTGCTCTCGAAGGTATCCGGATGTACCCTGGTATGTTATCATAATCAATACTATTACATAATACACAGAATATTAATGTTAATATATAGGTGAACAACAATACCGTTTTTATTATGGCATTTCGTTGGCATTTGAGGGTAAATTTAATAAAGTTTAAGTGAACAACATTAAGTTTAAGCATATACGTATGTATGTATACATTAGGTAGGGTTCAGGAAAGTATCAGGGAATTGGATCAGTGCCAGTCCAGTCGGGAACTACTCATCGCATCCCTATTGGCACTCATTTTTTCGCACCGAAAATGTCAAGTGATTGGTCTGTTATTAAAAATACTGTACTTTCAATTGATTTTAATCATAAGTTATAACAAATTCATTTTAATAAAGACAAGGAAACTGTGGCTCAATTAGAGGCCAAATTACGAGAGAACCGGAAGCAGGCAAATGAAATGGTAAAACTAATAATTATTTAATAAACGGGTTAGATTATTTAAACTAATTGCTAAACTATTTATTATAAGGGTTTATACTATGCCGGACTTTTCCTCCTGTTGTCGGGACGTCTGGAAAAGGCGAAGGAATACATCGACCGTATGATTAAAATGTCGCCTAATTTTAAAGAAGTAAATATAATTTACGCGTAAAATAGTCATAAATTGTTACCATTTTTTGTATGAATTTTATATGTTTTACAAAAGGGATTAATACTTAAGGGATGGCTTGAGGTGCAGTCGGGCAGCGATGAGGACATTACATCCATGAATCACTCGGCAATGAATTACTTTGACATCTCATCTAAATTGTATTGATTTAAAATTTACATAATTTTGGGTTAATTGCAAAATACAAACATTTGACTAATTTGAGCCCATTTTCATATTTAATAGCAATGATCCCGATGTAATCATTGGCAAGTCTAAGGTGTTGGAGAAAAACAGTTCGTTCATCGGTGGTGTGGAGCAACTGAATCAGGCCATCGTATTGTATCCACGGTTTTTGCCCGCTTTCATCGAGAAAATGAAACTTCAAGCGTGTCTTAAGGACTGGGAACAAGTGGTGGACACAGCGTTTCGGGCGCTGGCTATCGATAAACACTGTTTGGACGCTCAGAGATATCTAATTGTTTACAGTATGGCCTGGGATAATAACCAAGAGGCCGTTAGTATTGAGACTGGGAACAAGTGGTGGACACAGCGTTTCGGGCGCTGGCTATCGATAAACACTGTTTGGACGCTCAGAGATATCTAATTGTTTACAGTATGGCCTGGGATAATAACCAAGAGGCCGTTAGTATTGCATCAATATTCAACTAATTTTATGATAATCATTTCACACTGGTTTATGTCAGGCATCGTCTAAATTGCTTGATCTCATCGCATCTTTTGAGATAAGAGAGCCTAAAAACGCCGACTTATACTACGAAAGCGCAAAACTGTTCGCAAGAATTGTAAATAAAATTAATATTTTTGTATTATTTGGAAAATTAATTATAAAAATTATTAATATTGTAAGGCATTCAGAAATGAAGACATTTTGACCCATTCGATGAATTTGATAGAAAGGGCTGTATTTCTGGACCCGACAAACATTGTGATTATCTGTGAACATGCATTTCAGTGCATGTTATTAAGTAATACATACTAATAAAGCAATTCTGACAATTAATAAATAAACACATTTATTAGACCGTATGACTGACGCCCAAAGACACTACAAGAACGCCACTAAAATGGATGAGACGAGTATAATGGGCTTAACAGGACTTCTTCACTGTCAGCTCATTGAAGGCCAGAAAGGAGTGGAGGAACAGTTGGATTCGCTCGAAGAGTTTAATAAAGCCACCGGAA